TTAGACGCCGCAAAACAGCACTGCCCCCACCCAGTATCTCTCCGCTTCTAAAGCTTTCAGTTATTGCGAAACTCGCCTTTCCGTCATATTAATTTCAAGAAAGTTCAAGCCAGTGGAACTTCCGGGAGTGTGAAAAGAAGGACCATTGTCCACTTACCAGGCGCACAGCTAGCTGGTCAGCAGTGTGGGAGAGCAGGTTTGCCTGTCTGTGCAAAAAGAAGAAGGTAATTAGAATTCCGGCTGTAATAAATACATATAATCTCCTCTTTAGAGCGTTTGTTCTAGAGAACGCTCGTGTAGGCCAAGTTCTTAGAAACACTTTCCTCCGGGCATTCTCGGTATTGCTGAAAGGGCTCCAGAAGTCATTCTGTACCAGGGGAAGTCCCATGTCCTAAGCTTTGCTGGCTCGTCCTCAGGGAACCATGAAGTCCCATTTTGGTAGATGGCTGGGGTGGAAACAACATGAAATCTCCATCAACTCTCCCCAATGCTTGGTTCTTAGGGGACACCATACTGGCCTCGGGCTATCCGAATAGTTTAACCCAAAAGTTGGATATCAGACCCAACCGTACGATTTATATTGACAATAGGAATGGCAAAATTTAAAAAGAATCGAAGCGACCCCTGGATGCCCCATTTTTTCAGTTTGGCCATGTGGTAGATATAGCGGCTTTAAAGACCACGAAGACGAGGGGGGTAGCCTTGGCCACGTTCAGTGTCTAAATTAGGGGTGGGCAAACTTTTTGACTCGAGGGCCACAATGGGTTCTTAATCTGGACCGGAGGGCCGGAACAAAAGCATGGATGGAGTGTTTGTGTGAACTAATATAAATTCAAAGTAAACATCATTACATAAAAGGGTACGGTCTTTTTTTTTTTCTTCTAGTTTTATTCATTTCAAACAGGCCGGATCCGGCCCGCGGGCCGTAGTTTGCCCACGGCTGGTCTAAATACTAAACTGGGCTCATCCACGCAGGCCTTGAGACAGTTACAAGGATTTCCGTTGTAGGGGAAACTAATGCGAATCCAGTATTGAAGAACAGATTCTGATAGCGCAGCTAGAATGTGTAAGACCTTTGCTGACAAAGAAAAGAAAAAAAGCCAAAACTGTGGAACAGGCAGCAGAGACTACTAATACGAAGCTTGACCAGCGAGCACCGCATTCAGCGAACACCCTGGAAATGCAACACCCGATCCTCAGGCCCCAGATTACCCTCCAAACTCTACGTTATTCCTTAATCACGTACCAGGAGGGACTAGTGAGGTGATGCTCTCCGTGCTGTTCAGTCAGTTCCCTGGTTTCAAGGAAGTGCCTTTGGTACCTGGGAGGCATGACTTTGCACTTGTTGAATTAGAAAATGATGGACAGGCTGGAGCTGCCAGGGAGGCTGTACAAGGGTTTAAGATCACACTGTTCTGTGCTGTGAAGATCTCCCATGTCAAGAAATAATGTCTGGGCTCTGGCCGGTGTATATATATATAGTGACATTTCAAGCCCAGAAGCCAGCCCTATGTTGGGGGAGGAGGCACTCCTGGTAGAGGGAACACTGTGAGAAAAGGCTGAAGAACATGGGGTTTCATGGGAACAGCAATAAATCCATTTGGATGGAGGGGACGGGACAGGTGCCAAAGGAGGGCTGATGTCAGACTCAAAAGTCCATGTGTAACTGGACTAATGAGTTTAGGCTGCGGAAGGATGAGAAGCCGGGTGTTCTCGTGGGTCAGAGATGGGAACACGAGACGAGCTAGGAGGCCGAGTACACCTTCTGAAAGGCGATGACAGCTCCAACTAGGTCAGTGTCTGCTGAACAATGGAAGGGATGGAGGTCAGACACATTTCTAAATAATAAATGACTGGTTACCGGCAGGGGAACTGATGGGTGGTGAGCTCTGTGGGAGGAAGGGCAGGTGTCAGGAGGGAGGAGGAATGGAAGCTAATGAATTGGAGTTTTTTTGTCTCGAGACTCACTGTTCTCAGGAGATGGAATGTCCTCAGCTAGAAATAACGTGGACCTTTTACGGCCACACCTAAGAAACAGTTCTTCGGAACAAACGTTGCCGAGTGCCTCCCTCCTCCTCTCAAGGGCAAGAACGACCTGCCAGTGCAGCCAGACCGCCCCGCCAACACCCTGAGGAAACATCCCAGGACGTTTTAATTCTCCCTTTGTTCGTGATCATCTATCTCTAGGACACGATCCACATCTGCTTTTTCTTTTGGTGGGTGCTGCCTCCTCTGCACCCACCTCTTCATACCCCTTCCTTGGGCCTGTGATACTGTTTACGTGCCTGCATCCTTCTGTGGATGCCTTGAGAAAAAAAAGGGGGGGGGGTGTCTTATTTATCTGATTTGCTTTTAGGTATCAGTACTTTCCCCATTTTTATCAATTACATTCTTAAAAGTGGCATACCTGGGGGTGATGAACACACAAGACAGTGTACAGATGATGCGTTACAGAACTGTTATTAACCAGTGTCACCCCAATACATTCACTAAAAAAGGGAAAACAATATTCTGATGGAAAGAAAAAGTAGCCTAACCATGTGTGTCGAGCGAGGGGGAGTAGAAATCTTGGGAGAACAGACCCAGGTAATGAACCCACCGACCCGCCTCAGAACACACGCGCGGCACCATGAACGAGGAATGAGATTAGACACGACAAATTTAACCCTTCAGAAAGGATCAGCAAGGGACTCATCAGAGGCACCCAGGCAGAGGTCAGTTAGAAATCTTGGGAGAACAGACCCAGGTAATGAAACCCACCGACCCAGCCTCAGAACACATGCGCGGCACCATGAACGAGGAGAGATTAGACACAACAAATTCAACCCTTCAGGAAGGATCAGCAAGGGACTCATCAGAGGTACCGTATTTGCCGGCGTATAAGACGATTTTTTGGCCCTGAAAAATATGCCTCCAAGTGGGGGGTCGTCTTATACGCCAGGTACACTTCAGATAGACTGCCCATAGTGCTTGCCCCGTGCCATAGTGGCCTCCCGATGCCCGCCCACTTCATTCCACATACCGTTCAGGCATCAGCAGCGCTGCTGATGCTGTGCTCGGCTGTTATGCGATTTTGCTGTTATGCGATTTTACCACACTCGCAAAATCGCACACAGCCGATCATACACCCAGTATGATAGCGCAAAATCGCGAATCGCGATACCATACTAGGTGTATGGTTGGCTGTGTGCGATTTTGCGAGTGTGGTAAATTCGGGTTACCGTATATTTCTTTATATATGCATTGAAGATTCGCGATTTTGCTATATCATGGTGCCTG